AGCTTATATTGTTGCTGAAGGTTTACTTACTTATTAGAAACTGTTAAAACTGTAATACAGCACTTTATTTTGAAGAAAAATGAGAAAAAGCATGCCTTTTTTACCATGCGTGATAGGTGTGAAATCTATTCAACCTATAACTTGCTAAGGGTAACTAAAACTGAGAGAGTGTCAATATAAAAAACATGTATCAAGTAAAGCTACGTGCCACTATAACACTTTTATTATCACTAGTGCTTCATACAGATCATAAGATCCCAAAATGTCGGTTTTTAGAGGCGTATCTGTTCAACCTATATCACAAAAAGTAAGTAAAATTAGGATAAAGGACAAAAACTGTAACAAAGATCAGGATTTTTCACATGCCTTTAGCCTATTATATAAGCCATAGACGGCACTTTGGAAAAATAATAGCTGTATTCATTAATTTGTGCCATCACAAAGGCAATTTCAATGATAACATGGGCCGCGAGAGGCGGCGAAGATTCTGTTAACAAAACTATGCTTAACCGTCACAAAGAACAGTCATGAACTCCCAAGACCTATCTGTTCATCATCGATAGTAAATAAAATGCAAATTAATACAGTACAAGACTTGGAGAAGAGCTTGTGTAGTCCTTCCATTGCTTTTCCACCATTACAGAGTCTGTCCGTGTGACGTCATCAGTTTCCAATCCCTGTTACTTAGTAATACAATCTATGCCATTAACTTGCACCCAGATCCACCACTGCCTGTGTCTCTCCATGGTGTGGGGAGAAATGTGAACTACTGAACTGTGATGAAACTGATTGCAATGGAAATGGAGATTGTACTAATGGTAAGGGAAAAGAGGGAAAGGGATAAATGTAGAAAGTGAAAGAAAGCGAAAGATGAAAAATTTAAAGAGAGACAAACTCTAAAAGAAATAAAGATATGAGGCTTTTCTCTTTATTACACTTAGGATCTTGTAAGTGTAAAGCAGGATGGTATGGTAGTCTCTGTGAGAAATGTTAGTCATTCTACTCCTCTTTAAATGCTTGATCTATATAACTTTTTCTTTTTTACGACCTGGGGGCGAAGCCCCCAGGTCGTTCCTATAATTGATTTCACCCACGTGCGATATATATATTTATTTGTATGTCAACACTTTCATTTCTTCTATACACGTTGTATTGGAGAAATAACAAGCCTTAGGAACCACCCGCCCACGCTACGTAAGTAGGTGTGGTCACGGCAAACAAGATGGCGGCTTGCACATGGGACAAAGTTATGCTTTCTAACAGTGAAAAAACATAGAGATACTGTCTAAAGACTTCTCTAGAAGCATTAGAAGGTAGAGAGAACTTTCATAAGTCTTAATAAGAACCCAGTTGTACTTGCAAGGTGGTGAAAACAATTATAGGAATATTTTTACACTAATACGCTTGTTTTATAGACCCCTTTCGGCGAGAAGTAGCAGCTTGTGAATATCATTAATTTTGCAATGAATATCATTATATCTCAGTTACGGTATACACCCACACACAATAATTGGCCGCCATGTTTTACGTCAAGCAGCAAGTGCTTTCTGTGTCCTGGAGATCTTGGTCACAACATTTTGAAGCTAAAAACTATTCTAGAGTCAAGAAAGATGCCAAGAGAGCCAACCTAGGGAGTATAGTGCAATACTCTTGTTGTATGAGCCTGCTTTCCTCTTTGGGCTGTGACAGAGAGTCAAGAACTGATCGTTCTGGCTCTCCCAGACTTCTTAAGTCTTCAAAATATCTTGCTATAGTAAAAAACAGTTGATATGAAGCCTCTCATAGTCCTGAGTTCAGCACAACAAAAGTTTTATTGGCAAAACAGCTCTACTTTGCACATCAGCCATTGAAACTCTGCATAACTTTGACGTAAAACATGGCGGACAAAAATCCGTTCAATATTATTTCTTTGTATATACGGTATCACAAACTAATTCTCGCCTAAAGGGGTCTATAGCTTGTCCACATAATAGATATGGTCCTGGTTGTGAATACTCTTGTTATTGTAATGATAATGGAGTATGTAATCATGTAACTGGATCATGTATATGTAATACAGGATATACTGGACCACACTGCATGAAAGTAATGTGCTTATAATAGTATTTTTGCATTTATTTTTTATCCTTTTTTCTTTAGTAACATAGTATAACACTGAGCTTTGTAACCTGCCATTTTCAATCACAAGAAATAATTTATTATTAATGATAAAAAATATACTATAATAAAATAATTAATCAACTATGAATTATTAATTCCATAATTATGTTGTTGTTTGCTTCATTAAATTCCTCTCTAAAAATATTATGACAAAAATAGCTAAAATATTTACTGTAATAAGATTAAGCATTGCATTCATCACTACTAATATCACTCAATGAACCTAAACTTGAATTAGAAGAAAAACTTCTTAAACTACTAATATCTGATGCCACAGTGTGATATCCAGTGGTATGTGAATATACACTACCAGCATCATCTTGTTCTTCTAAATTATGTTCTCTTAAGTAACTATTAAGTAATATTGATATTTCCATAGTTTTTGCAAACTTCAATGCAGTGTAGCCTTTTTTGGATTTAATAGTTGGATCAGCTTCACATTCCAATAATAACTTCACTAATTCATAATGTCCTTTATAGCTGGCAATCATTAAAGCAGTATGACCTTTTCTGTTTTGAACATTAGGATCAACTTGTGCTTTCAACAAAAGTTTAACTACTTCAGTGTGGCCATTTTCACAAGCCAACATAAAAGCATTCCAACCATCTTTCTTTTGAACATTAGGATCAACTTGTTCTTTCAGCAACAGTTCAACAATTTGAGTGTGACCATTTTCACAAGCTGACATAAAAGCATTTCCTCCACTGCCTCTTTGAACATTGGGATCAACTTGTTCTTTCAGCAACAGTTTAACTATTTGAGTGTGACCATTTTGACAAGTCATCATGAAAGTATTCCAACCATCTTTTCGTTGATATCTATAATCAACTCCTTTGTTAATCAATAGTTCAGCAACCTCATAGTTACCATAGTAACTAGCAATCATTATAGCATTTGATCCATTTGATTTCATCATGTGAGGATTAGCATTAGCTTGTAGTAACATGTAAATGATTGAAATGTGATTATGTTTACTTGCTATCATTAGTGCAGTCCATCCTTTATTGTCCTGAATGTTAACATTAGCTCCAGCAGACAGTAAACTGTGTACAATGTCCTCATGTCCTCTTTCACAAGCTAACATTAGTGCTGTCTTGCCTTCTTCATTAGTATAATCAATATTAACAGTTTTTAGTTGAAGAAGAAACTTTACTGCTTCATTATTACCAGCTGTGACTGCCTCAAGGAGAGCTAGTTCAAAGGTGAAGTTCATATTCTCATCTTCTTGAAGGACACGATGATCATTAATGTATAAACTAAATATACCAATGAGACGCATAAACTGTAATTTTCCTCCAGTATATTTTATTAGACTATCAGCTGTAAAGTCAAGGATATGTAACTTGATGACAACAGATCCACTAATTATTTTAATATGTTTTATAATTGACTGCCTGTTTTCGTGAGGCAGTAGTTTTTTAATAAGTTTGCGTAATCCTTTAATACTTATGTCATCCCAGCAAGTTTGAAGGTGTATGTTAATGCAAGGTAGATTATCTGTGTTTCTGTCAATTTCAAATGGCTTATAGTGATCCTGGAGTAACTTTTTGAGTTCAGAAACTGTGTTAGATGTACGCAATTTCTTACTCATACATATATGGCTCTGCAATTCATCAATAAGTTTAGAAGTTACTTCATCATCATCAGTAAATGTTACGTTTGGTAGGAACTTTCTACTCATGTCCAGTAACAGTTTACAATCAATAAAGTCATAATAAGGTCGGATCTTCTTCAAAATATCATCAATATTGCTCTCTACTGAACCATCGTCCCATTCCATGTATTCTATGAGCCACTTAGATACATCAGTAGCTAATTGACTGTTTTGTTTTATTTTTTCTTGCAATGACAATTTAAAAACATTAGCTATATTTACAAACTTGAGATGTAAGTCATCTAAGGACTTATAAACTTTCATTTCACTAGTCTTACGTTTAAAAGGAGAAGTTATGTCATGAGAAGCACCACCTATAAATATTAGCATTACAAGTTACTCTTATTCTAGTCTGAAAGCTCTCATATGCCAAACAAAATTAATACAGACAATTAAGCAACAGTAAACACATTAGTGTTATATATTTTATCATAGCTATAATTTTAGTAGATCTACATCACCAACAATAATTTAGTTTTACCTGCAATGGTACTTAAGCTTGATAACTGAGATGCTGGTAATAAGGCTGTAGAGAGACCATCACTGACTGATATATCTTTAAAAAAACCTGTGTATATATACATTTTATTGTACTGATTACTTATCAATGTTTACATACTTCTAGTAGAAGCTGGTGAAGACGGTGATGGTGTTGATGCCATCATTGATGACTCTATTGGTATTAATGATTCTATATTAAATACTTGCCCCCATTCACTATCTAATGTTCTAGCAGCATCATCAGTTGGTCCACCTTGGGATATGCACTCCAGAAACACTTGACAGTGTCTCTTTAATTCTGATACATCTTTTGACAATGAGAGCTTAGTGTTAAATTCTTGCATCATTTTACTATAGTTGTGTGATTCAGAATCTTTTACTGATTCTGTAATAACATTATTAGTGTATAGTTTTGACAATATGTTGCTGAGACTTCCTCTGGTTGCTCTTTCCAAAGTGTCATAATGTGAACGAAGTATCTGTTGTAGCTTTATACAAGCTTTAATATAATAACAATTAAAATAATAAATAAATGTATCCTAACCTTCTTCAACAGTAGGTCCAGGATTGAGTTCAACATCTCCTGATAAAAGGAGGAGGAGACGAGACATTAACGAGAATATATTAATATCTCCAGGTAATGCTACTGACTGGAGGGTATCAGTAACAATATCACCAGTAGTACATTGTACTTGATAACAGTAACAATGACCTAATGATACATACAGTGTATAAAGTATAGCTATTGATTTACCTGGTGGAGGAATTGAATTGTGTTTCAATAAAAGTACACACAAATAAATGACAATAAAACCAGTAATAAACAGAACTGCTGGCAGTGTACATCTCTTCTCTACTTGTATATATCCAGTACTGTCTGACTCACTGTCTTCAGTAGTAGCTTTAATCAATTGATCCTGACAGCATTCACTAGCTGGTCCACTGGAGGCAGGTCTACAATATTTCTTAAATACAATACTTTCCCTGGAGGCAGCTTGACAGTAGTTCCACAGTCCAATACTTGCTCTCCATTGAGAGACATCAATCATCTTGTACTATAGTATGGAGGACAATGAGAGAATTAGGTAACTTAAGGTTTAGCTATTTCAGTAATTACTTACACCACAATAAAGAAAGAAGGACTTTATAAAAGGAAGAAAAGAACCCTTCTAGCAGCCTACAAAGCTATAGTAACCTTCACAAGTTTGACCAAGGAATAAGTAGCTTCAGATCAACTGCATGCAGATCTAGCTACCAGTATCAGCTAGTATAAAGGATGGGTGTATCAGTGTATGTGTGTGGTATATAGGCCTCATGAAAATAGTTACTGGAACACACCAATAACACTGAATATCATTATCAATTGTTTGCTATTATAATATTTATAATAATAAATATACAAAAAGAATATACATTAATCTTCCTCAGTGCTGCTATTCCAGTTGCTGTTCTGTAACATGATCTGTTCCCATTCTCTCCTCTCCATCAGTTCTCCTTTATCTCTGACTTGTTAACCTTTATCTCTCCGTTACCATGACAACATATGTGAATGGCACACAGTATAACATCAAGAGTAGATAATAATTAGAGGAGAGTGTCCTACTGTCCATATACCCCCTGCTTCATCACCGCGGAGCCACATTCAGGATATTTCCGTATTTTCATTGAGTTTGAGTAGTTATTGCTAGTTATTTTTGAATAACTACTCAAAAATACTGAAAATAACCTGAATGTGACTCTTCAATTCTACGCGGTGATGAAGCAGACCCTATAGCCAGTAGGACACTCTCCTCTAATCATTATCTACTCTTGATAACATGTATAGTGACAGTACTTAAACCAATTAATATAATAATAATAATTAATTGATTATCATTATCGTTAGCACTGTAATTAACCGGAGGAGATCCACTACTAGAAAATGAGAGAAAGAAATAGAAAGCATAGTATTATGATTTCATGTACATGTAATGTACATACAAGCATATAAATAATTTACTTCTTTTCTCCCTCCCTCCCTCCATTCCTCCCTCCCTCTCTCTCTCTCTCTATCCCCCTCCCTCCCTCTCTCTCTCCCTCCCTCCCTCCCTCTCTCTCTCTCCCTCCCTTCCTCCCTCCCTCTCTCTCTCTCTCTCCCCCCTCCCTCCTCCCTCTCTCTCACCTATTATTAGTTCCATTACAACTATCAATAGATTTATTATCATTATTCAATACAGTAATATCCTCTACTGATACATCATTAGTAGGAGATAGTAATGAGGAGATTGAGTTCATCACTGGCACTGCAGTACTAACATCAGGAGTATCAGTTGATGATGATAATGATGATGATGTGATAAATAAGGTAGAGGATGTATTTATTTGATTATTTTCTATTAATGTTATATTACAAGATATACCAGTCCAGCCCTGAGAGAAGGAGAGAGAGAGAAAAAGAGGGAGGGAGAGAAAAAGAGTGAGGCAGAGAGAAAGAGAGAGGGGGAGAGAGAAAACAAGAATAAACCTGTAAGTTCTAGATAATCATAACTATAGTGCTAAATGTGCACAGTAATCATGTTATTATAGCACATTCCTACTGGTCTATCATTCAAGTCAATATTAAGTGAACTATGCAATAAGGACACTAACTATAAAAACATATTTTGTGTGGGATTCTCTCTAATAAAAATAACTGCTGTACCTTGTTACATAAACATGATCCATTGACTATAGAACAATGTCCATTACCAGAACAATCAGGAAACATACACCTTTGAATAATAATAAAATAATAATAAATTAATTATATCTTTTAGTGCCTTACTTCTGAGCACAGTTGACTCCATAATAACCTTTATTACACTCTATGAATATAAGAAATACAAAGATGCTTAACGCTTTAAAAATATTGTGATTATAATACCTTCACTTTCTCCCTCCTCCCCCCTCCCTCCCTCCCTCTCCCTCCCTCCCTCTCCCTCCCTCCCTCTCCCTCCCTCCCTCTCCCCCTCGCTCCCTCTCCCCCTCCCTTCCTCCCTCTCCCTCCCTCTCTCCCTCCCCCTCACTAGTCCATCAGTGTGCTCCAGTGTATCCAGTATCACAGGTACAGTTACCATACACTGGGTGACAGCGACCACGTCCATAGCAGTAACAATATGACCTACAATCGGATCCATAGCAGTTTCTAGGACAAGCTATATCATGAAGGAGGATAAGAGAATAAAAGTTAAAATATAATTTATAAATTACATGTATTACGTTTTTGACACAGTTCTCCAGTCCAACTAGGATCACATGTACATGAACCTAAGGATGATGATAATAATGAATAATTATACATGTACACAGCATAAGGACATCAAATTGTATCAGAAAATGTACATGGGCTATAGCCTTGAGTATTTTTCAAAAATAGGCCATTAAAACGGCCATAACTTTAAAAATAAAGTTGGAATCAGCTCAAACTTGCTACACAGCATAAGTACATCAATATGTATCAGAAAATGTAATAAAAATTTGGGGTGATTTCGGAGCCATTTTTGGAAAAAAAACCATGGGCTATAGCCTTGGGTATTTTTCAGATTTTGGCCGTTTTTTAAAAATGGCTGTAACTTGAAAAATCGAAGTCGGAATCAGCTCAAACTTTCTACACAGCATAAGGACATCAATATGTATCAGAAAATGTAATAAAAATTTGGGGTGATTTCGGAGCCATTTTTCGGAAAAAACCATGGGCTATATAATAGCCTTGGGTATTTTTCAGATTTTGGCCATTTTTAAAAAATGGCTGTATCTTGAAAAATCAAAGTCAGAATTACCTCAAACTTTCTACACAGCATAAGGACATCAATATGTATCAGAAAATGTAATAAAAATTTGGGATGATTTCGGAGCCATTTTTTAGAAAAAACCATGGGCTATACCTTTGGGTATTTTTTAGATTTTGGCCGTTTTTAAAAATTGCTGTATCTTGAAAAATCGAAGTCAGAATCAGCTCAAACTTTCTACACATCATAAGTACATCAATATGCATCAGAAAATGTAATAAAAATTTGGGGTAATTTTGGAGCCATTTTTCGGGAAAAACCATGGGCTATAGCCTTGGGTATTTTTC